AATCACATCTAGCCACTGGCCTCTTGTTTGCCTTCAGACCCAAATTTATGAAAATGTTCTCCAAGGGAGGACGATCCACAGATGACTCAAAGCTCTCTCATCTCACAGACAGTCTCCCTACATTTATTTACACAGCACGTAGATTTTCCTCTTCCGCTTCCCACTTGACAGTGTTTTCCACCTGCTCCGACAGATTTCATTTTGATTCTTTCTCACTCACTGCTTCAGATCTCGAACGTCAAATGAGTGACGGGGGTTAGAAAGAAAACATCTTCACAATAGCTGAGGCAAGGCAGGTGACGTAGAGGCCCCAACCGAAATAATTTGTCCCAACTTGCTGCACGAAACTAGAGTGGTGCAAGGCGGTTGCCCACCAAAGTCAGACGATTGCAGGGTTTGTATACAAATTTCATCAGAGCAACCTCACATGTGGAGAATTTCTCACAAACTTATTGCAATCAGCTTCTACGTTCCACCAGGAAATGACATGCTTCGTGACCTTTATGTCCAAATCATTATTCTGCATAAAGAAAAGAAAAAAAGAACCCTCATTATAACTTTATTAATTATGGATGTTATTCAACTTTGATATTTGTGGTGGAAGGGAAGTTACAAACTGGGAATTATTATTTGGATCTAAAAGATTAAAGACTGTTTTGAGTCAGGCTTGGTTCTTTGTGACTCTGGGGTGTCTCTGTGTAGCTGTCTTAGCAGTAAGGAAGTTCTCCAACAGTTTGAGTCTGGGGATTAAAAATTGATGGAACTTTAGGCTCTAAACAGCAATATACCAACAAAAACAATAATGTCGCTTTCTCTTTGTGTGTGTGTGTGTGTGTGTGTGTGTGTGTTGTGTCTGTGGGTCTGCACACAGGGTATATAAAGAGAGGGGGGAAAATCTGACATATAACACTAACGCCCTGCATTCAAGCGGAACAAAACCTGATTTGTAACTTTTAAAATACCAGCAAGAAGTACTTCGTTCTAACCATTTTTAATTCAAATTCAAAATTTTGCCGGGGGTTAAGACTGAAATAAATTCAGTCAACCCTTGGTGATCGTTTTCTCCCCTGTAAGAACTAATAGACGCAGTTGCTGGTCTCGTTTGGAAAAATGTTGAAGAATCTTCAAAGGCAACAAGCCCGTCGTTCTGTGGAGAGGGGCGTTGGGGCATGTTATAAAGATAAAAATAAGGGCAGAAGGGATCGCTTCCCTGCACTGAACGTGAGAAGCTGGTTAAAAATTAAGGAAATGTTACAGAGAGGCAATGTTAGACGTCCCAGTTCTCTGCTCTCACTGGTCTATCCATCACCATAAATCTAGGGATATCAGATCTGAGCTGCAAAGATCGAGATGAACACAAGAGGGTAGCAAAGGGTTAGATGTTTCTGTCTCTCTGCTGCCATCTGGTGGAAGGACATGCATTCTGATAGTTCTGCCAATCTTAGCAAAACCAAAGTGCTCACAGCCTTGTCCTACATTAGAGTTGTCCAACCGTGGCAACTTCAAAGGCTGTGGACTTCAATTCTCAGAATTCCCCAGCCAGTCATGCTGGCTAGGGAATTCTGGGAGTTTGAGAGCCACAAGTCTTTAAAAAAAGAAAAGGTGTCCCACAACACTTGTCCTTCCCTTCCTCCCAAAGTCATCTATCATTTCTATAGCTTCAAGCGAGGCCAGTCCTCATGAACGTCAGGTTGCCACTTCCTTCCTGTTTAAAATGTGCAAGCGCAGGGCTGGGTCTCGCTTTCGTCTCTCGCAGACGCCCAGCTGCTGGGAAAGGAGGTGCATGTGATGCACTGATTTCCTGCCCATTTCCTGGCCTCTGGGCTTCTCGTGCTCCTCTGCTCTCTCTGGCATCCCTCCTGCATTGCCCATCAATGAATTGAGGCACTTTGGAAGTGGCACCATGCTGCGTCGGAAGCCATCCAATGCCAGCGAGAAGGACCCAGTCCAAAAGAGGAAGGTGAGTGGAGGGAGGTCTGTCTTAAGCCCTCGCAAGGTAACTGGCCGGCAGACCCACTGAAAGGGACTGCAGGGCAATGAAGAAGTCTAGAAGGCAGCATGGATTCCCTACCTTGGGTATCGACCCTTCAAATGTAGAGTTTGTAGAAATCTGGAGAGGGATGGTTGGTATCAAGTTAGGAATTCAACAGCCCATATAGGGAATTGAGCCCTGACCCCATAGAGACATCCATACAATTTTCCCCCTCCATGTTTTGTACACTGTGTCTCTTCTTGATCTACTCACGTGGAGTAGAGGTCTACTCCATCAGGGAAACCATCACAACCACTCAGGAGCTCTTGCAGCAGAAGCAGTAAAGGTGGTGGGTCACACTAATGAAAAGGAGCATGCAAGGAGTGAGTTGCACTCTGGAGAGGGAGAGAGGAGTGTTGTAACTGCCTGGATAAGTGAACCGTTTTGAATAAGATTCCTTGGATGTGGTTTGGCTGTGTTGCTTTCTTGTGCCAGAACAAGTTCTGTGATAACAGCAGCACTCAAGTAAGTCTCCGGGTAGTGAGACTGTTTTTAACATCAGGAGTATTCCAGTAATCCATCAGAATCTAGTGCTAGAGCAAACAACGATCTACTCCCAAATCATAAGGATTCTTTATCTGTGCTGTATCTGACTTTTGACTTCTTTCTTCCTCTTTCTTTCTTTCTTTCTTTCTTTCTTTCTTTCTTTCTTTCTTTCTTTCTTTCTTTCTTTCTTTCTTTCTTTCTCTTTCTTCCGTCCTTCTTTCCTTCCCTTTCTTCTTTCTTCTTTTTCCTCCTTCTTTTATCAGTTGTGTTGTTTCTGTAACACAACATTTCATCTCTCTACAGTCTCCCTGGCTGCCCTCATTTCCCAGTTGGAAAAAGTTCTCTGAGAGTCTTCCTTCCTTGAGATTAAAGTAGGGAAATCAAGGTGGCCCTAGATCAGGGGTTCCCAACTGGGGGTGCAAGACAATATTCCAGGGGGTGCGAAAACTTGGATTTAGAAGTTTCAAAGTTATAGTGTATATGCATAATTCGTTATTTCAAACTTTTGTAAAGGGCGCGAGAATGTATCAAAAGCGTTCTAGGGGTGCAGGCTATAGAAAAAGTTGTGAGCCACTGCCCTAGATCATTGGAGAGTTGATTGTACAAAGAAAGACAAGGCATTCACACTTATCCTTTGGTCACTAAAATGCAGAAACACCTGCTCCTCTTAGGAGAATTTCCCAAAATCCTCTTCTTCTTTAAAAAAAAAAATAGAGGATCCTCTTTCATCAGATTGAATGTGTATTACTCGGGAAGGGGAAAAAAGCAGGATATTTTTTCTGCACGGTGCTATTCTTGTCTCTCTGATTTTATACAAGCACAGAAATCATGCTGGTAGCGTCTGAAAGACATACTATCAAAATTACACATTTCAGATTCAGGTAGAGAGGAATTATGAGCTACATTCCATTCCAATAGCCAAGAGACACCTCAGAGTTCTTTCGTGTTCAAAGTTTATATTTTGCCCCGTGAATCCTGCCTCTTTTTGATCTCACAGTAGCCTCTGGAACCATCATTCATGGCATCCTCCTGGACTGTCAGTCCTTCAAGCTAGCTCAGACAGGAAACCAAAACCACAGATGTTATCTCCACTGTACCTTTATTGTAAGGTTAAATTTATAGGCCAATGGTGTACTGTAGTACTTGAGCACTCATCCTTAATTGGTTCCGAGGGGTGTGATGAATATCAAAAATGATGAGTCCCAAATAAATTATTCCCATAAGGAACAATGTAGTGAGTCACAAGGCAGCCAATGCCGATACGTTGTGCGTTGAGTACCAAACAAACAATGAGTACTAGTAGAAAATGTTCACGTCAAAATGCACTGAGTACCAAATTCGATGAGTTTCAAAGCAGTTGAGTACCACGGTACCTCTGTATTTCCAGAGAAACCTACTTTTGTTGCTTCTTTTAAGATAATACACAAAGATGCTGCCTTGGAGGCAGCTTCCCACCAGAATGTGAGAAGATTGGACAACCGTTTGTCTGAAATGGTATAGGGTTTCCTGCTTGAGCAGGGGGTTGGACTAGAAGACCTCCAAGGTCCCATCCAACTCTGTTGTGCTGTTAGACTGAGCCATGCAATGTGACCTTTTTGGTCCTGGTTTAGCTTACTCTGCTTACTCTGTAAAGTCAGCTGTGGTTTGTAAACCCTGGTTTAGGTAGAAGGTTGTATGGACTCAATCAGTTTTGGTTTAAGTAAGGTGGGTTTAAGTAAACAATGGCTTAGCGTGATGCACATGAGCTTGGCAAGCACCTATGAACCTTTATTTTTAAAAACAAGGCTGAAGGGCTGAAAGAAGCAAGTTTTCTTTCTTCCTTAAAATCTCTCCTTTTTTAAAACATCTCCTTTTATCATTTCTCTTCATTTCCTCCCTTCTTTCTTGGATCCCAATTCTCTACAATATGAAGAGATGAGCTTAATGTCAATGCAAAACCAGCTTGAGAACTGGTTAGTTTCAGGGAAGGCGTCCATTTCAATCTACTTCATGCCTAACAAGCTACAACGTGCAATCTGGGAGTCTTTAAATAGCACCTGGGTTCCTCAGAAAATAGCAGCTATACACTTTGGGGATGAGCGTTACAAGGCACACAGGTTTGCAAAGTACAGGGTTTCCCCCCCACCCTGCAATGTAAGGGGCCTCCCAGAAATGTGGTTGGTGCTGCCGCAAAGGGTTAGTGTATATTTGGGTCAATGGTCTGTGGTGTTTGCTGTTCCAAGGAAGAAGACTGATTTCTCGTTTAGTTCTTGCTAACCAATTGTTTGCACGCGCGTATCTGAATCTGGAACTAAGGTTGCATCTCAGCATCCTGTAGTTGCCTGTCCCACCTCAGCATCCTGGACTCACCCTTAGGCACGGAGGCACGTTTTTTGGGTTTCTGGGCTTTGAGCACGTGGCTTTCCAGGAATATCCAAAAGTGGGCATGCCTTGGTTGGCATGTGCATGTGTTTTTTCTTTTCCTTCTCCTTCTGCTCTACGCACTGTATAAATAAACATAGGGAGACTCTGCCCATGAGATCTGTGGATCTTCCTCCCTTGGAGAACATTTTCCTAAATTTGGGTCTGAAGGCAAACAAGAGATCAATGATTAGATATGATTCACCAGTAGTAGTAGTAGTAGTAGTAGTAGTAGTAGTAGTAGTAGTAGTAGTAATCTTCTTCTTCTTCTTCTTCTTCTTCTTCTTCTTCTTCTTCTTCTTCTTCTTCTTCTTCTTCTTCTTCTTCTTCTTCTTCTACTACTACTTCTTCTTCTTCTTCTTCTTCTTCTTCCTCTTCCTCCTCCTCCTCCTCCTCCTCCTCCTCCCTGGATTAGTCTTCAGATTTCTTGGCAAGGCTGCAGAAGTGGTTTTCCCTTATCTCCTTCCTAAAGCTGAGAGAAAAGGACTGGTCCCAGGTCACCTCCATCTGGCTTTGTACCCAAAGCAGAACTAGAACTCACTGTCTCCCAGTTTCTAGCTTGGTGCCTGAATCACTAGACCAAATTGGCTTTTGGTACAAACTGGGTTTCTGCAGCCCCCTTTTTAAAAAAAAAAAAAAAAACAGAAATCAACCCACCCTCACCCTGTAGCTGCTTTTTGCTACTCTGCCAGGTGTTTGGATTCTGGAAAGTGCAGTTGTTGGTCGCCTATGCTAACCCACTTCCTCTGCACCATGTCAATTCTGAGCAACTCTGCAAAAAAAGAGAGAAAGAGAAAGAGCTTCAGAGAAAGGGAGGAGGGGCAGTCAGTCAGAACATGGCTAGATCAACTTAGAAGCATCCAGACAACCCAGTTCTTCAGAAGTGAGCAGTACCGACAAGCTAACAAGTTGTCCCTCCTATATACATGTGTAGAGGTAGCCCAAGACAAGTTCTACTCTTGATTTCATTCTTTGAGCATCCAGGGAGATAGGAATACACAAGCATAAAAAAAACCCCCACCTTTTAATGAGACTGCAAAAAACAGAAATGGTAGCGGCAGAGGCAAGAGGCAATTTGAAGTCCCAGATTTGATCTTGGGAAGAAACAGCATCAAAAGCTGTTTCCTTAATGTAAGTATGCAGGAGATTGCCAGCCTGCCAGTTTTGGTCGCCGCAATATAAAAAAGATGTTGAGACTCCAGAAAGAGTGCAGAGAAGAGCAACCAAGATGATCAGGGGACTGAAGGCTTAAAACATACAAAGAATGGCTGTGGAAATTGGGTGTGTCTAGTTTAATTAAAAGAAGGACTGGGGTGACATGATAGGTAAGAGCCTGATGCTGGGAAAGATTGAGGGCAATAGAAGAAGGGGACGACAGAGAATGAGGTGGCTGGATGGAGTCACTGAAGCAGGAGGCGTGAGCTTAAAGGGACTCCAGAAGATGGTAGAGGATAGGAAGGCCTGGAGGAACGTTGTCCATGGGATTGCAATGCGTAGGACATGACTTTGCAACTAACAACAACAATATCTAAGGGACTGTCACAAAGAAGAGGGAGTCAAGCTATTCAGCAAGGTACCTGAAGGCTGGACAAGAAGCAATGGATGGAAACAAGAAGAAAACTAGAATTAAGGAGAAATTTGCTGACAGTTGGGACAATTTATCAGTGGAATGGCTTGCCTCCAGATATTGTGGGGGGTTTTAAGAAGAGACTGGACAACCATTTGTCTGAAATGGTATAGGGTTTTCTGCTTGAGCAGGGGTTGGACTAGATGACCTCCAAGGCCCCTTCCAACTCTGTTATTCTGTTATTCTGCCTTTCATTCCAGAGCAAGGGAGTCTGCTTAGTGATCCCTTTTCCATGTTTTCTCCTTAGTATCCCTTGCAATAGTTTGAGCTGAAAAGCGGTCCAGGATCACCCAGTGAGTTTCTGGGGCAGAGAGTGGGCCTGACCCCCAAGTGTCCTGACTTCCTATCCCAGCACTTTAACCACCACACCACATTGGCTTTTGAATTAACAATCCCCTAGAGTTCACCCTTCTTAAGAAGTCTTCCTTCCTTCTCTGATAACTGAGTCATAATTCCACCAGGCCGTCTCTGTTCTTCATTATTATCATCTTTTCTCCATCGGCCAGCAGGCAGACAGGTGCACAAGAGAACAGGACCGTGTCCCGATCTGAAAAGTGGCATGTCCCACCAGAGGATTGGGGAGGTGGGGAACCGATGTGGAGGAAACGGAGATGGGAAGTAGAACTTAAGACGTTTATGTAACCCTTCTGCATCATCCAGCTCACGGATTGCCTGCCTTCCTCTTCTGGGGGAGGGGGCACATCTGTGCACACGTTTGCCTTCCGGTGGAAGAGGCACCGAGGGATGGAGAAGGCAAAAGAACAATGGTCTCCTGGCAACCCCATCCACTTCTGGCTGTAGCTCCATCTGCTAACTCTCTAACCGAGAGAGCACCGTAAGCTGCCCAGAGTCACAGACGTGAGATGGGTGGCTATGTAAACAAAATAAAATGAATAAAAAGGAAAAAAAAATGGAGAGGGCTGCAAGATTCCCAAGGCCCGTGGGCTTTCTCTGCTCTGCAATCTGCGCTGTTCCTGACCCTCTCTGCTTTCTCCCCACAGCTGTCGCTGCAGCGGTCCAGCAGTTTCAAGGATTTCGCCAAATCGAAACCCAGCTCCCCGCTGGCGAACACCAAGACATTCAGCCTTGAAGAGGAAGAGGTAACACCCCCATCCCCCCCAAACGTGGGACCCTCTCTGTTGCCCTTTCAAGGACAGCTTCTGTTGGCCTCTCATTGTCCCCTTGGCCACTAATCCTGGCTCAAATCCCTCTATTATTAGTGGACAGTCCCTCCCAACTCTAAGCTTACAGGGAATCCTCAACGTACAACTAGGACCGGGAGCTTCCATCCCTAAGTGATGCGGTTGCTAAGCAATAATTGCACCCAGGTTTATGACTTTTTTGCCCTACTCATTAAGCCAACCACGCAATTGTGAAATAAATCTGGTTTCTCCCCTCCCCCCTTGACTTTGCTTATTGGGAGTCAGTTGGGTAGATCACCAATGACGATCACTTGACCCTGGGATGCCGCAACCGTGGTAAACACATGTTGCCAAGCATCCAAATGTTTCAACCACATGACTGCATGTGGTAAGTCATAAGTCACTTTTTCCCAACCTCGTCTTAAGTTCAAACAATGGTTAAACGAGTGGTCGTAAATTGAGGACTATCCATAGTTGTGGTGCACTGGTGGGGCAGAGAAACGGTTTGGTTTCTGAAAGGCAGAGTTCGTCCAATATGGAGTGCAAAACCAGTGTCCCAAGCTAGGAAGGTCCATTCCTGAACTCAATTCACACAATCCCAGAGTCGTCTTCTCCCTTCCTGGAATAAGGAGTCTTCTTCTCCCTTCCTGGAAAGCCCAAGGTCCCTGGCTCTCTCTGCAGGTTCCTGAAGGCAAGCAGTCCAATCCGCCACCTAGCCCAGATGATGAGGGACGCTCAAAGCTGGGCAAGCGATGGAGAGCCGCCATTTCCCGCACCATGAACCGGAAGACAGGCAAGGCAGTGGCTAAAGCCTTGGTCGATCAGGTGAGAGAGGACACCGTCTCTGCTCCACGCCGTGTGTCTTCGTGTGTTTGTGCAAGAGAGTTGTATAAGATGCCTCCTTCCAAAAAGTCTTAACTCTCTCACCATTGCCTAGCATTTAACTTCTTCCTCTAAGCCTATTTGCATGCTTTTTCCCTTTCTGTCTTTCTCTCTCTCATACACACACACACACAACTTCCTTCTCTGTGTGGTTTTGAGAAAGCAGAAAAAATGCAGGTTCTGCTTGTGAGCTCTTCCGCAGGTAACCAAACCAAAGTTGCTAACTTCTGTAGCTACCCGTCGTATACTGAATCCACCTGCACTCAACCGCAGCACGAACATGTCTTTTCTCTTTTCTTTTTTAGCCTAAAATACATTTAAGGGTGGTTAAATGAAATGAAATCTCCTTTCTACCATTCCTTTTGTTTTGTGTCACGGTCCGGTCTCCTAGCCCCAAATCTCCCTCTTCCTCTCCCGTGCCAAGCGCAGCCGGTTGATAATTTGGCCGGTCCGTAGGAGAGCAGATCTCAGAAGAGGATGAGAATCAAGTATCGTGCTGCAAATGATTAATGGGGAGATTCCAGGAAGATACCTTGACAAGGAGATTACTCCCCAACCCTTTAGAGCAACCTGTTGACCTGTGGAGTGTGAAATGTGTGTAGTTCCTTCTTTTTAAGCAGCCTGTGTGTGCAACATGCTCTTCCTCTTTCCCAAAAAGCATGCCTGGGCTTCATGGAGGCAGGCCTTCAAAGGGAGCAAGGCTCAGACTTAGCAACTGTGGCCAACTATGCTTCTGTCTTGGGAAGAAAGAGTTCTCCATGGTTTCCCGTTCCTCTTGCAGGGACACGATGAATCCGAGACTCCTGCGTCTCCAGCCTACAGCTCTGTTGAAGAGGATCTTCCCATCTTTCCAGTCACAACCCAGGAGACTAACGGCCCCGGTGCCCCCAACGGTAAATGGCTCGCCTAGCTTCAATGAAGCCTTGACTGAAAGCCTACTGTGCACGGAAGTGGTAAAGCTGGGGTTAGGCCAGGGGTGTCAAACTCAATTTCATTGAGGGCCGCATCAGCATTGCGGTTGCCCTCAGGGGGCCGGGTGGGTGTGGCCAGGATGGATGCGCCCTACTGGGTGGGTGTGGATGGAGTGGGTGTGGCCAGCTCTACATTGTTCGCATCAAGGGTGCCTGTGGGGGCCTGGGCAGGAGTGGGATAGATCTGAGGGTCTCTGGCAGAAGGGGGTGGGACTGGGGCAAGCGCCAAGGCATGGTCCATTTCTTCATTCCTCACAAAGGGTGACACCTCCCCAGCATGCACCCAGGGGGCTGGGCCGACACAGCAGGGCTGGTTCCTGTTTCCAGATGGCCTTGTGGAGCTAAGACTGAATGCGTTTCAGCATAGATGGCCACCACAAAATTGTACACTGGCTCCTGGCCGTCTTGGGCCAGGGCCAAGGCAGCGGGGGCCGTTCCCTCACTGTTTCCAGGATGGCTTCGCGGGCCACATGAAACCACTTTGCGGGCCGCATCCAGCCCCCGGGCCTTGTGTTTGACATGTCTGGGTTAGACTATACCAGTGCCAAATGGGGAAGCAGACTATTCCAAATGAGACCTCCTTCCTTTTTTTTTTTACAAAAAGCAACTAAACATTGCAGAGGACGTTCTGTGCTTCTCTGGCACTTGAGCACCTTTTAATTTCTGGGAGCAAATATTTTGTGAGTAAGGGCAGGTAGAGATTCTTATAAGTTTGAGCTCAGCTCTGAAGAGTTCTTGAAGCCTTGCTGGGGATGTTTTCTTGGCCACAAAAGAGAAGTGGTTTGCCTCTAACTTCTTTGGGAGGTGTGGCCATTTTTGAGTCTCCCCTATAACCCAGAGAGTTTCTGGTGGTCTCCCATCCAGTTCCTTCACTTGATCTGACCGTTTTTATTTTAAAAAAATGGCCAGCTGTGCCAGTGACTGCATTCCCAACCAGACAGAAAGTCAGAGCGTGGAGAACAGAACAGTTACAACTGAATCCAACCACCTGCTTCACGCAGGAATCCAGTTCAAAGCAGAAGACTGTCTAGTCTGTACGTGAATCTATTCCACAAAGAGGGGCCCACCGTCTCTTGGGTAGTCCGCTACATGCTCACGCTACGCATAAGAACAGATGCTCTCGTTCAGTAAGGATCTGCCTTCCTGTAACGTCATCCATTATTCTGTGTCCTGCAGTCGGGAGCCATAAGAGAAGCCTGGATACTCTTCAACCATCTGAAAAGATCTATCTGCTCCTCTCTCCTTCTCAAGATTAAGCCGTCCCTGCTCTCCCCTTGTCTTCAGATTTAGTTTCTAGCCTCCAATGGTCCTTTCCTAAACCTGTTCTGGTTTTACCCTGTCCAGAAGCAGACATAATATTCCACAGAGAGGGTTCGTCAAATATAGAACGTAGCGCAAATGTTAACTTCCTGTGTTTTGAAAACTAAGCTTCTGTTCAACATGTGCTGAGCAGCGATTCTGGTGGTTTGCAGGATGGAGAGTCACCCTAACTCAGTACAGGTGGTCTTTGACTTATGACTGCAATTGAGCCCAAACTTTATGCTGCTAAGTGACACATTTGTCAAGTGAGTTTTCCCCCCATTTTTCAACATTTTTTACCATGGCTGTTAAGCAAATCCCTGTGGTTGTTAAGTTGGTAACACAGTTGTTAAGTGTAGCTGGCTTCCCCAGTGACTTTGCCTGTCAAAAAGTTGCAAAAGGTGATCAGGTGATCCTGGGACACACCGCAACCGTCATAAATTAGTCAGTTGCCAACTCTCTGGATTTTGATCATGTGACCACAGGGAGGCTGCAACAGTCGTAAGCGTGAAAAATGATCATAAGTCACTTTTTTCCAGGGGCGTTGTAACTTTGCACAGGTCACTAAGTCGAGGACTCCCTGTATTAAACTGTGTCTCCAAGCTGAAATGGAGTCAGCTCATGTTTCTTTCTCCTGGCTCTTGTCCCCCTCTAGAAAGGGAATTGTTCAGTCCCACCCCGAGCAGCCTCTGCACCATGGAAGAGATCATCTCTACTCCATACGACGGTCCTTTTTGTGGGAAAGCCAAAGTTCACACAGATTTTATTCCCAGCCCCTACGATAAGGACTCTCTGAAACTCCAGGTGGGTGTTTTGCATTTCTTTAGGGCAGAGATTCCCAACCTTTTGGGCATCAGGGACCGATTCCGTGACTTAGAACATTGGGGTTAATAAGTGTTTTTGGTGGTCATCTGAGAGATTCAATTTCATTTCCTATAAAACAAGGAACAGTTGCTGGAATTGGGTATGTCTAGTTTAACGAAGAGAAGGACGAGGGGGGACATGATAGCCTTGTTCCAATATCTCAGGGGCTGCCACAAAGAAGAGGGAGTCGAGCTATTTTCCAAAGCGCCTGAAGGCAGGACAAGGAGCAACGGGTGGAAACTAACCAAAGAGAGAAGCAACCTGGAACTAAGGAGAAACTTCCTGACAGTTAGAACAATTAACCAGTGGAACAACCTGCCTCCAGAAGCAGTGAATGCGCCAACACTGGAAGTTTTTAAGAAGAAACTGGACAGCCATTTGTCCGAAATGGTATAGGGTTTCCTGCCTGAGCAGGGGGTTGGACTAGATGACTTCCAAGGTCCCTTCCAACTTTATCATTATCATTATCATTATCATTATCATTATCATTATTATTATTATTATTATTATTATTATGTCCAACCTTGACACCTTTAAGACTTGTGGACTTCAAATCTCAGAATTCCCCAGCTGGAATTCTGAGAGCTGAAGTCCACAGGTCTTAAAAGTTGCCAAGGTTGGACACCCGTGCTATAACATATTGCTCCGATTTTATTAAGAAAATCTGTGCAATATATTGATGTATATATCCAATATATTGTACAGAAATAGCTATCGGAAGATTAGGTTCGTTGTTACCTTCTTCAAGTTCTCTTTTGATGCTCACTGCCGCTCTCCAGAAGTCAACATTGCAACACAATATGCTTTTGGAAATGTGCGGCTTTTTTTTCTTAGGAATAAGCGTCATACGAACCCGTAGCGTGTTTTGATTTGGATTTCCTGTGCTGCATGAATCAAGCTTGTAAACCACAGCTTTAGGGCATGGCGTGTTGTGCAAACCTAGCCCATTGTGACATGCAGAAGGAACCACGATTGTGCTAAGTAGTTTGTGAAAATACAACAGGATCCGATTGAAAGGAGTTAACAATATGGCATTTGTCACAGAAAGGGGACATCATCCACATCATTGCAAAACCTCCCGTTGGCACCTGGACTGGCCTTCTGAACGACAAAGTGGGCTCCTTCAAATTCATCTACGTCAGCATCATCCCGGAAGAGCCCGTCTTGGCTACGAAGACCTATTCGCGGCACAGGAGCAAAAGGCCGAAGCCCAAGACCTTGCAGGAGCTGCTGCAACGGATGAACCTTGAGGTGGGAACGTTGCTCTAACACAGTGGTCTTCAAACTTGGCAACCTTAAGACTTGTGGACTTCAACTCCCAGAATTCTGGGAGTTGACGTCCACAAGTCATAAAAGAGCCATGGTTCCCCACCCCTGGACTAGAGGGTGATGGCCAGACTTGGTAGACTAGAGCAGCCAAGGCCAATATACAGAGGCAGCAGGGTTAAATGAGTTCTAGGTTTGAGCTGGGTGAGGAAATTGCCAGCATCCTCCTGCCTCAAATGCACTACACAGTGTGTTACTCACCAGCTTCAACACCCAGATGGCGTGCCTAGCCAGACTCTACTTTATAAACAGGAAATGGCATTGGACCATTCTCTGAACATCTTGTAATATTAAAAGGGAACTGAAGGAGCGCCTGTAGAGCAGAGGTGTGGGCCTCATCCGTGTTTTGAGCTCCCCCCCGTTTCATTTTGAGACACGGCAGAAAACACGTGGATCCCCATATGTAGATACTGCAATGAGCAGTAGGGTAAATCATAAATCTTTCACACAAGAGAGAAACTATTTCTGTAGCTATGCCTAGTCTCTAAATACAGATGCTTGCCTTGTTTTGTTTCTTTTCTTCAACGCCCCCTTCTCCAAAAATATTAGACTTGGTATCTTAAAAGATAAAGTCCCAATCTGCATCTGGAGTTGATTAAACCATAACTGTTTTTTTTTGTTTAAAATAAAAAAAAAACTGCTTTGGATGGTTAGAATCAAGGTTGACTGAGCCTTCCATCTTTCCAAGGTCGGTAAAATGAAGATCCAGATTGTTGGGGGCAAATTGATAACTCTGTAAACTGCAAAGAGAGGGCTGTAAAGAACTGTGAAGCGGTATATAAGTCTAAGTACCATTGCTAGTGCTCTTCCTTCCTTCCTTCCTTCCTTCCTTCCTTCCTTCCTTCCTTCCTTTCCTTCCTTCCTTCCTTCCTTCCTTCCTTCCTTCCTTCCTTCCATAACTGTCGACCGCCAGCAGTTTGATCCTGACCAGCTCAAGGCTGACTCAGCCTTCCATCCTTCCGAGTTTGGTCAAATGAGGACCCAGATTGTTGGGGGTGATACGCTGACTCTGTAAACTGCGTAGAGACGGCTGTAAAGTACTGTGTCTAAGTGCTATTGCTATTACAGGTATAGCAATAACAGCAAATCCCATCCACCCCGCCAGGTAACCTTTATCACAGGTATTACAATGGGACTGTGTCTTTTTCCCCTCCTCATTCAGGAGCACACCTCTACACTGCTATTAAATGGTTACCAGACCGTGGAGGACTTCAAGGAACTGCAAGAGAACCACCTGAATGAATTGAACATCACTGACCCACAGCATCGGACCAAGCTTCTTACAGCAGCAGATCTCCTGCTGGATTATGACAGTAAGTGCCCTTTACCCTCCAAAAGAGCTTTCTTTCTTCCTCCTCCATCGTCAGGCCCCGTTCTTGGAGTGAGACCAGTTCTGGGTGCAAAAAGCCCCACCTTGAAATCCTATCACGTTTGGTATTAAAAACCAACTGTGACATGAAACCGAATTGAGAAATCGGACTGGAGCACGATGAGGCAGACCGTTGCAAATCTTGAAAGAGTAGTTTCCTGGGACATGTAAACCTGCCTCCGCAGAGGGAAGCTACACAGAATTGTTTAGTGGTCCCAACATTTACCACGAGCTCCCGCTCATCGCGAGCCAGGTTACGGGAACTTCTGTTTCTCACTCAGGAACAAGTGAGGCAAGACCCTCCTTCTTCCCTTTCCCCTGCCACTTTTAGCACCGTCCGGTCTTCTGTTTAACAACTGGGCTTCTCTCTCTTCCCAGCGAGCAGCGAGGCTGAAGAGGAAGGAGGAAACGTGGAGGGTCAGCTATTTCCTGGAGAGCTCAAAGAAGACATTCCCCGCGATTCTGGCTGTTTTGAAGGGGCGGAAACTTTGGACAGTGGGCGGGAAGAAGATGTGAAGCTTGAGGGGGGGCTGCCATCCCATTCTCTGACCAGTTTGGGCTGAGGGGAAGACTCCTCTCTCTGCATCCTGAGCCCCCGTTGGCTGGCAAGTACAAGCTGTTTTTCCAGGAACGTGCCTCTGTTCCCTCCCCCCTTCAAAAAAAAAATATATCCAGATAACTCTTCAGGCTGAGTAGGAATACAGCTCCAAGTCCTGGTTGGTAAATAAGGAGAAGGCTGGGATCCAGAATCCTCACTGATTACTGCACCAAAGACTGTTGCATGACAGAGGCTCCTCTTTCAGAGTTTTGGCTGCAGTGAGCAGGCGCTACCATGAGACTTCCTAAGAAGCAACGGAACTCGCCTCTGCCACCACGTGCCCAGTCTTCTCTCGGGTGCAAAGAGGGTTTGCTTGCCCCTGACAGCTCTGCACAATCCAAACACTGCCGCAAAGATGGACAACGAACTTCTGAATGCAGCCTCTGGCCTTCTTCCATCCTCCCATCAGGAAGAAGAGCGTCCCAACTCCTGTAGCTTTAGTCGGGAAGAGCAGGGGGGGGGCGGCTTCTGCTCTACTTCTTTTCAAATATATCTAGTTATTTTATTGTAAACAGCTAGGTTTTTTGTAGCTTTAGGACAAGATCCTAATGAAGAACAAGGTAGGTGCAATTTCCAAACTGGCTTACTCTATGGAATGGCAAGCACTGTTCTCTGGTACAGATCTTTCAATAAAGCACATTTATCTCTGGAGGGTAGAGATGACCCTGTATGTCTGTATTATTTTCAGAAAAACTAAAAGGTAAAATATTCCTCCACTGCCAAAAGGAAAGGAAAAGAAAGGAAAGGAGAAAAGGGAAGGAGAAGAGAAAGGAAGGAAGGAAGGAAGGAAGGAAGGAAGGAAGGAAGGAAGGAAGGAAGGAAGGAAGGAAGGAAGGAAGGAAGGAAGGAAGGAAGGAAGGAAGGACACATTAGACCCAGGACTCTATTATGAAGTACAGCTAGTTCATTTTGGTGGCTTATTGCCCCAAGGCTTCATCCCAAAACATTCAAAGATCTCAAAAGACAGGTTTTGGAGAACACTAAACGTGACGTTAAGCAGACCTAATCTTGAAAACTGGCAGCAAAAGAGATATTTGTTGCCTAGTTTTCTGCTCTGCACACAGGGCTGGTCTGCTTAGCGCAGCTTCTTTCTTGATAGCAAAAGTGATGTACTTTACAAAAAGAAGCCATTAAGGGGAATACTGACTCTTGCAGAGAAGCAGGAGTGGTCAGGCCTTGCTGCAGAACGGAGGTGAGCAGCAGGGGCCGTCTGAGGCCACGATCACACAAACAAAACTCAACACACCAATTCCAAAACCTTCACTGAAATCAGAGGTGGACATACTAAGCAGCTAGCACTGTCCCACTCCCTGGAATAATCCGTCACAGAACATGGAAAGCGGTATCTTAAACGGAGCAGGTGATTTGTTCAGCAGCAAGGGGGAAAGCCCCCAGCGGCACTTTCTGTTCTTGACACAAGGATGGGCAGACACACTGGAAGAGAGTTGTGTTTTTTTCCACAACGGGGTGTGGAGAAAGGAGGAGGCCACGCAGGCTACCGTATTACAGTAGCTCTCCTGTCAATCATAGCAGCCGTTATGGAAACGGCTTCTATTTTTGTAATGCATGGGGAGGGCAGATGGTATTATTCCAAAATACGGCAGGAGCCGTGCCAGACTCCGATCTCAGTAGCTCTGTGACACAATTATTGGCTGTCCCAAGGCAAGCAGGGATGCGAAAAAGTTAAGCGCCGCAATTCTCTTCCCGACCATTTTTCATTTATGGTTTTTCCTGGGATTCTCTACACATCTGAACCAGGCCCTAATGCCAAAGGCGCTTTTTCAAAGACAACTGGACTTTGTTTTTCCTTGAAGACGCTTCGCTTCACATCCAAGAAGCTTCTTCAGTGGAGGAAAAGCGAAACATCTTCAAGGAAAAACAAAGGAAGTTTTGAAAAAGCATCTTTTGAGACAACCAGGGCCTGGATGACTGAGAACCTCCACAGACGCTCCTGGGAACTAGGTTCAAAGATTTAGCCATCCTTTTTTTCCCCCCACTCTAGAGAGGGGAGCTTCTGTACTCAGAAAACGGGCATTCTTTTTTTAAAATTCACTCCCCGAACATTCTCTTGCGGGAAAGAAAATAAAAACCCCCGGGGAAAATGATTCTTAGCCAGCTTTGTCTCTCAACCCACATTATTTTTCCATTGCCAAGGAGATACACAGCCTTCAAAACATTTATCTCCATTTTCTGTCTGACTGGCACAGTCACCACAGAAGTGTGTACGGTAGTGTAGCTTTGCGGTATGATTCTACGAGTAAAGATGTAGTGGGGGGGGGCTGCCCACCCATCCAAACTCAGAGTATATATGGCTTTCCTGACATATGGATTCTCTATGCACATTCAGAGAGAGAGGACTGAATAAGAACACAACGGTCCGGACTCAACCATAATTTAATCAGATATTTCCCAAAGCAGCTTCCAGCACTGGATCAAGAGAGCTTAAGAGCACAGACATTATGGGCTGTACAGAAGTCACAGACCAAGAGCCCACCTCATCTGTACAGTAATAAGCTTCCTACCATACAATGCTGGCTCTTCTGCTTCCAGAGCATTTATGCTGCCCCCGTGACCCATTTCCGCAGCAGTCCTTCGATAACTGCTACGCGAGAAGGAAGGTTCTACCTTTCCAGGATGTGGAAGAAGGATCAGAACCACTTCTAATTGAAAAGGGAGGAGGGAAAAGTGAGGGAGGAGAGGAAAGGTTGATACTGCACCACAGATTCCAATACCTGAACAGACGTGGGGGGGGGGGGAGACAAAAGGACCTCAAGGTCCTCTGGCAGGGTGTAACGTAAGGACTATTGGGGGCTTGGCGCTGCCAGTTGGCACTGTTTGTCAGGAACATTTAGGAAGGCTACGATTTCTGAACTTGGCAGCTGCTAGCTTCCATGGATCCAGCCTGACTCCCTTGGCAAACGAGACCAGTCAAACACACAATACTGCAGTCACAAGGAGAAAGATGGCACAGATCACAATCACCAGTTCCGTCTTCTTCCCAGCAAATTCCATGTTCCAGGGAACTCGAAGCCGGGGCCAGAGAGGCACTCGCTTGATTGGGCTAGAGACCGCCGAGAGATGGAGAGTCCGTCAAGCAGCACAACTGAGTGCCCAGCCTCTACACGAGAAAGGGAGCGTTTGGCAACATCAGTTTGTAGACACTGTTCGGAACCGCTGGCGAACCAACCGCCTAAGGAACAACATGCTGTCCAGCCAGCTGTCCCCCATCCTGGCTCGCGCTGCAGCTTCACAAGGGGCAGCCAAGTTAAAAGCACTCTCGCGTTCACCTCGGAGGCTAAGGTGTCATCTGCACAGGATCGAGTGTTTGAGCAGATGATTCTTCTTCTTCTGGAGCAGCAGCAGCAGCCACAGGTGGCTTCGTGGCTTCCTGTGGCACTTTGTCCGTTGGCCCAGGGAGCTGGGGAGGAAGAACAGAAGGGAGAAGGACCGTTCACGGCAGAATCCCGCAAAACGGCTCCTTGAAAGCAAAACCGTCCACCTTACGGACGTTTGGAGGCACGTCAAGCGATGCGGCTTAGTATTTTGCCCATCGTAAAAATCCTTTCTGGAAATCATCCACCCAGCAACTTGCCTCTGGGCTACTAGAAAACAGCGCTGGTGCCAAGCCTGGGAGGAGCTAATTTTCATTCTAAGGGCGCCTGCGCTTTCCACACCTACCAGGCTTTGTTCTGGGAAGGCACTGCCACCCTCGGGGGCACGACTGGCTTGCTGGGCTCTGCGTTCCTCTGCGCTTCTCTCTTCTTGCGTTCTGGGCTCAGGCCCAGCTCCGCTCCCTGAGATAGCACGCTCTTGAAGCAAGATGCCCCGTCTATCCAGCACGCTATAAAGCAGAAGTGGGAGATCAGGGAAAATACAATTTGGAAGGGGGGGAGGGAGAGAAAAGTGTTTAGAGATGAGAACAGCTAAATTACCAATAAAGGAGAATATTTGTAGCTCAGGGTTGAAATGAGGGGTCCTTGATGCTCTCTTGAGCTTGGCTGGGGTTTTTTTTTTTTGGCCGACGTTTCATTACCCAAACTAGGTGACATCATCCGATCACTAGCACTGATGATGTTACCTAGTTTGGGTAGTGAAACATCTGCAAGAACACAACTGAGCTCAGAGGACCCCTCAGCAGCTAAATTCCGTCTCAGACTTCGATCTGCCGGAAAGGGCCCTTCCCTCAAATCCCTCTACACCACAAATGCTGCACTGCTTGGATAAACAGGGGACAACAAGAAGATACAGCTTGAGCCGTCACCTGGGAGGCAAAGGACCACACAGAACTTCGCAGCAGTTCTTCACAATGTTACCATGGCTATAAGGATTCTGCACACGGTTCTTCCCTGTCCAGGAGCCTTTAATCTGAAAGAACAAGAAGAGCAGCCTCCAAAAATACAAATCCAATGTTAGCACTGATCTATGTGATGATGTACATCCCGATCCCAAATGAAAAGCATCTTTCAAGTTACTCTGGCTTCTTCCAACAGATCTCTCCTGGAACTCTCGGCCCCTGCTGTTTTTCTAATTACTTCATTCTAATGAGAGGCCTTCCTCGTCAGTAGAAGAGTTTTACCCCCCCCCCCAAAGTCTGATACATCAGCCAAAGGCTGTTTACTGCTTGCAGCTGAAAAGAAACAACTGCCCAATTGAATGGGCAGGTTCTATTCTGCCTAAGGATTCTGAGAAAGCTGTCTCCTGAAGCCTTGCTGGAATGAACTGTGGGGGGGTGGGGGGTGGAAACACTGCAAGTTGTAACAAAAGGACAGAAGATGGAAATGCATATTGAGTCTTCACTTCAGTAAATGAAGATTTCTTTTTAAAAATCAACATGTTTGGAAGGAGGTTTATTGTGTTCTTTGGAAGGAAATCCAGTGGCTTCAACCCATTTAAGGGAGAATGGATATTCTTTGAAGAAACTTAGCCACGCCTGCCTAGAGCAAGACCAAACACAGACTTCTAATAAGAATAGCTCTAACAAATGTTTCTGAAAAAGAACATTCTCACAGAGATAACATGTGTATGAGAGAGAGAGAGAGAGAGAGAGAGAGAGAGAGAGAGAGAGAGAGAGAGAGAGAGAGAGAGAGAGAGAGAGAGA